TTACCGCAAAACCACGTTTTTGTCCTCCTGTTGGAAGGTACCTAATTTATGAAGAGCGCCGGCCATCACACAAAATGGCCCATGAGTTGCATGCGTGTTGTCGTCGGCTGCGACAGAGCCAATAACCTAGAAGGAGACCTCCCTTTTTTGCTGTGGCCAAACGCTCAGCGGTGAGACACTTCTTGGTCTCACAAGAATCAATAGTCGAAGATGAACGCACAGAAAGGTCGTTACTCGCAGCCAGTGCTGCAGAGGTGGAATCTGAGCCCGTTCCAAGCTACACGCCCTTGGCGATGTAGCAGTTAGGTGGTATTAAATTATCGTGGAGAGTCTTTGTCCTAAAAGTTTGTGCGTCAGAATAGTGGGCAACAATATTCAATGTTGAGGGGACCAAGACTAGGCATTGCTCATTGCATGGCAGTTCGTTGCTTATCCCTTGGAAACTTTGCGATGCTGCATGAGGTGCGTTCTGGTGTTCTGGCTGTAGGATTCAAATAATGCTCGCGGGCAGGCGAACGTCTGAATGTGCGTTCTGGGTGTTGATCGGGAGTGGCAGTCAGACACGGTGCCTGATATTAGAACAGCCTCCGGTGTTACGCTTTGTCTTGTGGCGTACGATGGCGGATTCGTCTCGAGTCATATGAAGTGAGACCGCCCCTGGAGGTGCGCGATTCTGATTGAATTGTACAGGCGTATGCGTGTCCAGCCACGCTAAAGACGAGGAGGATTCCAGAGTGTTTGTTTCGCTCGCGATAGATCCACGTCTGTTGAGGGGGATTGGGTGGAGAAAAGCAAACACATCATCAGCATTTTGAGGTTGGAATCTGGCAGCCGGACGATTCATGATAACTGTGCAACACAAAGCATGTATGTGCTTTCTATAAATAGCGGGCAAGCATTATACGGGGGAAGGTATCGCAATTCACGACAGCTGGAGAGTTTCCGGAAAGGGATTGGCTGCTGAACCAGCACCCGGTGGTGTGCTATATTGTAATTCTGCATTTTTCAGTTTGAACTCCCGTTGGTAGAAGCCTGCCCTGGTGTTACTCTCCTGGTGTTACTCTGCTTCCCTACATACAAGATTGCGGAGGGCATCTTCCTTCCCATTGGGTACTTCAGGCACCGGCATTGTCTTTGGTTTGGCGTTTGGTGGCGTTGGCAAGGTGGCTGCTCAGTTAATGTGATTTGTCACTGGATTGTGTATTTGGAACCTTGTGGATTCCTGTAAGTGCTGTGCCATCAGCGTTACCATGGGTCTCAGCAACAACCCATCGCTAGGCGGAGGTGGAACACGCTGTCAGGTGTATCTCCAAGTGCCGGGTGAGAATGGCAGTCACGTCAGTTGGTGCGCATAGGATTAGAAAATCAGATCATCTGCTGAGACGTGAATATGAGGGCATTCGGATGCATATACTTTGTAACGTGTTGGCTTGGAATGTTATTTGCGTTCTAGTCTTTTACCGGGAAGGGGCGTTGCCTCCTCAAGGCAGGGTTTTTGGGGTACAGAGGAAAGATCAGATTCTTTTTAGGCTACCCCTGCTCATCGAGCATCTGCGCATTTTCCCCCATATAGGATGTATATCCGCTCAGGGTGCTCATTGTACTGCTTCCGAATAGGTGTCCGTCGTTTCATTGTTGTCGCTGGTGCACCTGTCTTCAATAACAATTTCTTCCTGAGGGTAACCTACCCCTGCCGGTCGCAATACGTGCATATTGTGTGCTGGTTCCTCTTTATCCACTAGGGTCAGCGGAAGAGGCGGAAACTGTTGCCAGGCTCCATACTTCGAGTCGAAAAGAACGGATATATTCTCTGGCTGTTTGGGCATTGAAACTGTCTGTGGCACTATAGAGCAACTTCGTTCCTTTAGATATTGATATTGCTAATCTTGGAATGCAAGCGATGACACACCAATATCTCTCGCACATTGGGCGACGCGGGGACTCTATCGTCCCCACACCACGCGTGGGGAGAGTGAAAATCCTTTCTTTGTTTATAATACATCTGTATCTCGTCTTGTGGGTCCCTGCAGACTGTACGTTTACCTAGATGCAATGCGCCTAGTTGCCGTCCATAGAAAAATGTATGCCCATGTGTTGCGCTGCTGTGCAGCCGAAGGCGCATGAAGGACTAGCCATCAGCAGGTGGCTCGAGGTACTTCACTACATGCGTGGCTTCCCACTAAACGAGCCCGCACGGCAAAGCCTACAAAACACATTCAACTTTCAGTTGGTACGCCAAGTGTCTTCACAAGACGCAGGCGCTTCCACGGGCTATCTAGTTGGTGCCAGCTGTGGAACATTTTGCCATTCGGCATATGCCAAGCTCTTCGTGCACTGGAACGTAGATTGTTTAGCGCAAACAAGGTTTTGAAAGCTGTGGATGCAATCGTAGGTTCGCAAACGTGTATCGGCACCTTGTTGGCAGCACGTTCTTGCATTCAGGTGGTATCATTGTATGCATGTGTGTAACATGGTTTCTACACCCGCAAGTACAGGAGACGTTCTCATCAGCAGACTGCTAAATGCTGCCAAAAACTAAATTGCAGTTACGCTTTCTGTTTTGCGAAGTGAAAACTGCTAGGAAGGCTTCCATTCTCATTGCTGTGCCTCAAAATACCTGCCTCGCCTCCCGTTTTATAGTCGTGCTTATACACACCGCAGGCAGAACAACTCTAGTCTTGCCAGGGTGTACACGCTTGAGAACACTGTATACTCTACGTTTGAGAAAGGCGCGACTTTTAGACCTTGCTGGTGCCTGAGTTGAGGCATGATCAACAGCTAGTGAGTCGGTGAATGTTATGACGTACGCGATTTAGGTAGTGCTCTCACCGCGTGATATAGCGTATGCTTCAGAGAGTAGAAGGAATGAGGTGTTTGTATGGATGGCTGCAACGTTGAAAGCAAGTGTTTCACATGATGTTGTCACGGCACAGTATCAGGCCACGCACTGGAATGTATGTCAATTCCTTCATGCAGACGTGAACAGGAGCTGGAAGGAGAACAATGTCATGTCGGCTCTACAGATGCTGTTTGTCAACGGATTAAGCATTATGCTGTCTAAACATACTACTATGATGTTGAGCGTCCCCATGACTAGAGGGCGCATCTCGCTTTCCACAACACCACTCTACCGTAGATGTCGTTGGGTGTATTCCACTACGGGCGAGTGCAAACCGTGTCACACCACCACAGCTAAGCCGAGCAAAGCCAAGTCATACTCCTCTGTCCAACACAGGAACCGTTTTGCCTCCAGCACGCACAACACCGGCCCGCATTATACAGAGATATCTCCTACGTGTACAGCGATGTGCTTGGCTGTCCCTATAGGAATACCAAAGTCCGTCAACAGTGGGGCACACCTTTCAACATCAGCAGACTGGTGACACGAAGAATAACCTGCCATGCGAGTCGCACCACAGCTTATCCGCGTTGATATGTGATGCATTCTTTAAGTAGGGGCCAGGCAGAGGAGATGCTGGTGTAGTGAGGCGGCAAGCTACTCATGAGAAAGCTGCCAGTGAATTGATGGGCTTCTGAAGGTCCTTTGTGAGTGACAAGTACGCAGCAGCTTCCACTCGTGTTTGTGGTGTGTGCTCGTGGAAGGCTGATTCAAGGGATCTGGCAGGCGTACAGACTGGCGCCGCATCCACCAGATTGGCCTGCAAGTGCACGGTTGCATGTTCTGCCTTTCGGGAGAGTACGGATGTATATTCTGTTAGCCTATGGTAACGCCTAGACATACTTCTTGCCATACGCGAACGGTGTAGCTAACACCCGCTTTGGCATCTGAGCGCCTCCAGACCGAAGGGCGATCTGGCGTGCGTTGGCAGACGGCTGCTATGGCAAAACCCGACATTCTCAGCAAGTGCGGCATGCACATCGCTACACGGCTTATACTCGACAGACGTACCTCCAAATGGACGATCTGCAACACGTCGATGTATGACTGCTATGGCGGAAACCGACATTCTCAGCAAGTGCGGCATGCACATCGCGCTGCGCGGCTCATTCCCTGCAGAAACACCTACAAACGGACGGTCGGCAACGCGTTGGTGTATGACTGCTATGGCAAAAATGGCATTCTCAGCAAGTGCGGCATGCACATTGCTACACGGATCATCCCCGGTAGACGCACCTCCAAAAAGGGGATCTTCATTGCAGTTGTGGATAGCTGCTATGCCGGAAACCGACATTCTCAGAAAGTGGGGCCTGCACACGGCTACACTGCGCAACCCAGTTGGAGACATCTGCAAAGGACGTCTTTTGGCAAAAGAGGCAGGCCTGTGCTGCTTTTTGCAGGTGATGGATATGGCTTTTTTGGAACGTCAGCAAACTCCAGTGCCGACACGAGTTTCGGAAGTGCACGTAAATTGCAGAGTTCACGAAGGAAGTGCAGGAAGTGTGTTTATTAGTTTCGCTAGCGAGCGGGGTTTTTAGTTGCTTTAGTTGGGGGTTGTTAAATATTTGAACAGCGCACAGTGACGGAGGTGAGTGGTCTTCGCGACACTTGTTGACTTGTAAGACGACCACAGAACTGTTCAGCGCGCCTTGTGTTCCAAGCAAGTATGGCAGACGCACCACTTCATATTTCCATTTCAGCAGTAGCACTATTCACTGCGTTGGCTGTCACGGGGGAAACATATGTTGGTGCTTGCTACCGTGCGAGTTTTGGAAGTGCACGTACATTGCAGGTTCACCAATGAAATGCAGGAAGTGTGTTTATTAGTTCCACTAAGGAGCGGAGGTGTTAGCTGGTTTAGTAGCAGTTTGGTAAGTTTTTGAGCAGCGCACAGTGACAGAGTTGAGTGGCCTGGACCGGGCTTATCGACTTGTAAGACGATCACAGAACTATTCAGTGCGCCTTTGTGTTCCAAGCAAGTATGGCAGACGCACCACTTCATTGTTCTATTTTGCCAGTAGAATTATTCGCTGCATTGGCAGCTATTGGGGTGACAGAGAGTTGTGTTTGTTTGCGTGTTTTATGATGCGTTATCTGTTGAGGGCGTAGGCGGTTTGCCAAGGTGAGCGCGAGTAAGTAAAGTGGCGACCGTTTCATTAGTTGGCGGCTCTGTTCCGCATGCATGCTGCTGCCAGCGCACGTGGTAAAACCCTGTGCAAACGCCCGCCAATTCGGAAGTTGTCGGCCATCCAAGACAGTAGAAATATATATTGCGATTTTGCACGGATTGCTTGAAATGCGGCACAGGAGGAGCACAGGCTACGAGGGCCTAAAACAGAATTGTGCTATCTCCAAAGTTTTGGTTAGCTGCACTTTGTGTTTGTGCTTGCCTTGCTTTCTTGCTGGCACCTTCCCACTTATACATATTTGTATTGTTTCTGAGTGCTCACCCACAATTAAGGAGTAAGTGGGTTTGCCTGCTTTACGTACAAAGGCTTGTTTTCCTCCAGTTATGGGTGCCGTGGCGGCATCCTGTTGGCTTTTTGGTGTTGAAAAAGCACTTTGGTGGATATTCCGTAAACAGGTGCCAGTTCATGATGAGGAAACATCCAGTTCCGGTGTTCGATAAAATGCGTTCGCTCGACCCAGTAAGGCTGGATAATCGTCGAGATGATCCCACCACAGTTAGGATGTTTTCTTTCGATTCCGCTCCATTATCAAAAAACACTTTCTTTCACAAGGGAGTGGAGTGTAAATCGTGTGTCCTATATTGTGCTCAAACTTGAACTTCCCCAGGTGGGCAATATCAATATGTTTCAGTTATCAAATATCGTAGTAGTTTAATGAGGAGATATTTACACAGTTAGAGGAGACGAATACGGTTTTAAGGCAATGGATCTCGAACTCGGGGAATATACTGTTTAAAGGATACATCAAACCACAACAGATAGCTGAAAAATCCCACTCGTATTTGTAGTTGCTTATTTACTGTTGGCCCTCAGCTGTGGCCCTTAAGTTATCAGGGGTACATTCCTAGCAGCGCAGTTAGAGGAATCTAAGGTTGTGCTGGAAAGCACAACCGATGTAACAACTGCGATGCAACACACCTGCTGCATGCAGTGAAAGGGGCAGCTTCTGCGTTCTTGTGCATCGAAAGAAGACGGAGAGCCTCGGCCAAGCTTGGCTTTACGCGTGACACGCGTCCTACCTGTATTCAAGCTTTTGCCATTGCATCTGAGGATCTGAGGCTTGCGTGCTATCGATTTCATTCGCAATAGCAAGCAACCCAGCGAAAGCAAGACGTGTGGTCTAATCCGTTGACGTCTAATGCTCTGATTTTTAATAGAGCAGCGTTTATGCAGAGTATCCAACCTTACGTATTCAACTTAATACACGGCTTGCTTGCGCTATCGAAGATGCTGTAGCAGCAGTTTGAAGGAATCTTCCCACGGGGTTTTTCTAGGTGGTGTTACCAGCCGACGCTCAAGACATCAAAGCACCTAAGACGGCCGTGCCTTACAACAGGATTTGCGGAGGGTTCTAGGTCTAGAACTGTTGGAAGCTGCTATGCCGTCTCCCGATGATGTTCTGTTACTTCTCAAAGCCCCTCGACAGTGGCGTTTTAAGTAGCTATCTGTTGATTCCGCTTCGTCTGTAAAGCTGCTGTGGTAACTTGCAACATGATGGTCTGCTGACGTTGTTTCTTCAGATCATTGTCGCTTGGGGTAGTCTGCTGCTGCTTCACCTTTGCTCCTCAAAAATATCGTCAGCTGATGCATCACGATCAGCTAATGTTGGTAGTTTCAGTATTTCTGGTTGATGAATAAACGTCGGCGGGAACTGCACAGGTTCACCGACCGTCAGTGAGGGAAGCTCTGAAGGCAGACCGTGGGGAACCCCTGCTTTCAGAAGCAAAGCTGGTGACAAAACACTTAAAAGTGCTTCCTAATTTAAACAAAACTCGAAATGAATTCCTGGTAAGGGAGGGTATAGGACTCAACTCAATCGGGGCCTCTTGCCGTGACGGTTGCGGGTGCTGATGGATGCTGCCGCAGCGCGGCAGCGTCCATCAGCACCTTACGGCCGGGTTTTGCAAATTCTTCGAATTACACTTGGAAATCCCATTATTTCATGTCAAAGAGCCCTTTTTGGCCTCATGGCCTTGCCGGTTCCTCCAACCCGAGGTGTCAGAGTCGATGAATTCGACTTGAACCTGCTGGCTCCCGCCGACATCTTTCTAGATCCAAAGAGTTCGACATTTTCTGCATTCCTCTGAATACCAGTGGTTCGTTAAAAGAGTGGTGTTCATGGCAGAGCTTCGGTCGGCCCTTGCCGCGAGGCAACGGAAGGGCGAAGAAGATAGAGTCTTTGAGTGGGCGCAGCAACCACTGGTCCTCACTCCTTAACAGTAGACGTTGAACACTGGTCAGGCTTTTGAAGCCTTTCTCAAACCGCCACATATCGGGGCCATGTGATTGCAATGCGTCTATTAGCTTTGTAGTTGTACTCCTTGATTTTTGCAGGGGCTACGGAAAACGAAAGTTCACATTCAAAGAAGGCAAGAGGGGCGCAAACGTTGACCCAGAGAAAGTCCTACACTTGATACAAGTGAAGGGCGTGGAGTCCCCAACAGAACGTGAGGGTTTAGGTCTCTGGGTTTGGGGCATAGTGTTAGGGACGAGAATACAACTATTGCAATCCAAGGAATTGACAAACACGGCTTCGGTTTTAGAGTTTACGGTTTGGAGATTTCTTGTTCTTGCGAACGCTCTTCTCAGCACTGGACATTCAGAGCGAGCAAGAGGAGCGTCAGCACTGCGATCCGGAAGAGCATCACCAACCATCAGAGCAGCAGCACAAGCAGCAACACCAGGAACAGCAGCAACAGAATGGGGGGCATGGAGCAGGCACTCCAGTTTCATCGAAGCACGGAGCTTGCTCCCATACACCATCGCCGAAGAAGCAACTTATTCTTGCTCACCGGCATGACTGGGTACTACGGAAAGCCGCTGTCGTTTTCGTTAGCCTTGGACTGAAGCAGCCCAGCAACAACAGTTTTTGGTAGAAAAACGACAATTTTGGAGAAACCCAATCTGGTTCCCTCACAACTCCGAACAGACATTGCTGTTGCTGATGTGGCAGTTGTTGTTTTTGCTGCTGCTGCAGGCAAGTCAGTTCCCCCTGCACTTTGCAAAGGACCAGAAAAGTCCAGAGGTGCAGGCAAAGGCAAGGGAGTTTGAGGGGACCCTCAATCTCCCTATGCAGGTTGCCTTGCGCATTGCTCTTGTGTACCAGTTTAAAGAAGATGGAATTGGTTAGTGGCCGCTGCTTGCTTCTGGGTGGTGCCGCTGCTAGGTTTTTTATGCTGCTTTGCTTCTTCCTGATATTGCTGCTTCTGCAAGTGGAACCTTTTGGGCCTGGACCTGAGATGTCTTATATCGTGTTAGGGTTGCGGTGATACTGGAGATTTTTCCCTTGTTTCTGATCTGTTGTAGTTTACTTCGCTTGTTGTGGGGTTCCAACGCCGTCCGCTAGATTAGATGCAGTCGTTTATGCATGCTTCTCTTTTGGCGTAGGGGAAAGGATTGCAAACGTGTATTTGGAAGCTATCAAAAGGCTGAGAGCGTAAGTGGCCGACACAACTTCTTGGGCAATACGTCTCTCAACGCCTGGTGTATTGGGCTTTAACTGCATTTGTTGCGGTGTATTAGTGTCGATTAGGTTTGAACACTTCATCTTTTGTGCGTGGAAAAGCCCCCCGATGCGGCCTTTAAGGTTAGGTGTCTGGAGTAAGGGGCTTAGTGCTAGGTTTAGCTGCTGCATTGCCCGCTTTTTCTCTGGTAGCTTGTCTCTCGTTCGCTGTCAGCTACTTCCGTTTTGTTCTTGTGTCCATTTTTTCTGTGCACTTTTATGTGTGGAGTAGCATGTCATTCGTGCTGTCGCCTGGGTAGCCGAACAAGGCTTTAGAAACGGGTACAACTGCAGCAAACGAACTACTTCCGCTGCTGTGTATGATCGGCCTAAAGCGTGCTCCTTCTTTGTTGTCTGTTTCTCCATATTTCGCTTTGTCTCTCTGACGCTGTTTTGTACTCGCTTAACGCTGTAATATGTGTTGGCCTCGTTGCCCTCCGCCTCTGCTGCGTCTAGCCCCTGTGGTTATGCAGCAATGCGCGTTTGGGCACTATTTACTCCTTGCGTACATTTGCAGCGTCTACCGTTGTGTCTGTTTCCTGTTCTGTATGCAGAGGCGTGAAGTGTTCGAAGTTGTGCCACAGCTCTTTGAAAGTCAAGCGCAAGATGCTACGGCTGCACTACCCCGAAGCAGCCTTGTCCCTCAAGACTTTGGGGATTGCCGGTTTCTTTTCCGGTTCCACCCGCATTGACTTCCACACGGTTAAGGATCTGTACATTGGCACACGACATTCCGTGGAATTCAGAGAAGTCAACGCCAAGATTAAACCCTGTCAGCAATCATATGCGCAGAGCTGCCATCCACACGGAGGCAGCAGGCCTGCTATGTAGCTAGTCATATCTGTTAATATGTATCTAGGGAGCTAGCCGTTTTAATGCCTGTTGAGGTGACTTGTTAAGTGGGCTAGTTCGTTCTCGGCGAACAGTGTTCAGTTGATCATTGTTGCATGCAGCCACTCATCAGGGCCTCTTGCTGCGCTGCCTTGTCCTCACCCGTTCGCTATTTTAGTAGGAGATGGAGAGATAACGCAAGTACAATTTGCTGTGTTTCACGTGTGCGGGTTTGTATTGCCGCGTGTGACTGTGCAGTGGGCCAGATGCTGCAAGAGAGCCGCTGCTGCGTGCTCTCCACCACCTTCCGGACATATTCGTTGTTGATGGACCGCCCCGCCGATTTAGCTGCTCTCTGCGCCGTCGTTGACGTCTCCACAGGCCGCCACGGCCCAGCAGTGTGGGGCTCAGGAGGCGTCACTGATGCGGTGTTCGCTACTGGACTCCAGGCGAGGCGCATCAACTGAAAGCGGCGATTCAAATGAGGAAAACGCCCACCTTCAGCTCTAATGCAGAGATCTGTCTAGCTAACTGCGCACCTAGCTATCTGTTTAATTAGCCATTAGGCCAGCCAACTTGTTGGCTACTCGGCTAGTTGCTTAGGGTCCCTGTTAGCTACCTAGATTCGTGGCCTCGTCAGCATAGAAACTACAGGCCTGTGCGCTAGGCCTGACTAGCTACGCCGCCGACGATAGTGGGAAAAACTCCCCAACTAGCTAGTCATATGCCCTGAGCTCCACAACTCCAGTTGCAACTGCCATAAGAACACCCATGCTGCAGCGCTTACCGCGGGGAGAGCGCGCACCGTTCGATCAGCAGCAGTAGCTTCGCAGCGCTGGAGAGCAATGAATCTGCTCCTTTCTCTAGCTGACATGACCGTTCCGTCTCTATTAAGTTAGCCTCCAGTGAACCGTCCAAGCCTATTTTACTTTTGAAGACATGCCTGCCACACACCCATCCATCGTAGGCAGGTCATGGCTGGAACACGTGAGTAGGTAGCTCACTAGCGACCTTAGCTCATTAGCCTGCTAGCCAGCCAGCCACTGAGCTTGCAAGTCAGCGACCGCGGCTACGTGCAGCGAAAACACCAGCAGCTGAAGGAGCATCAACCTCTAGCTGCCTACAAGCACCGTAGTAAGATTAGCGTGCACTTGTGCTGGAGCTGCGACGCCGCACGACGTAGATTATATGAGCAGCCTATACAGGGGATTGTCCTATTCTATAGACAATATCATCAGAGGGGGAACACAGGTTCACAACAGCCTTTTCACCAAGGATATTTATGCAGGAAACTGAAAATCAATTGTTCATGCTTATTAATAAAGTACCTAAAGCCAAGCTTATTTATGCAGGAGACTGAAAAGCAGTCGTTCATTTTTCCGTAGGCTTGGTCGTTTGTTCGTTCGGTCTTCAACATTCTCTTTTTCTTTTTTGTTTTTTTATTGCCTGCGCAAACCAGGAAAGCAAGCAAACGGCTCATGGCTTGTCTCTCTGCCATGTGCTAGGGCATAGCGCGATTGCCCTGCCTTCTGTCCTGCCTGCTTTTCAGGATTATCTCCCGTCTCTTTATCTTCTATAAGAGCCGTGTTTGCTGCGTGGGAAACTGTATAGGCTCTATCATGGATGCCCAGTTGAGAGGCTGAATGGCGTCTGATGACCTGCGTAGGGTCTTAATACATCCATATATAGTGATATGTCTATTTGTATACATTTGCATGCGTATGAATTAATTATATATGCAAAAATATATGAGGCAATTGTCCATTTCGTGCTGCACTCTGTGTACTGCACACTGCTACTCACGTTGCATGGATGACACTTCTTCCTTTATTATGACACTTCCTTCTGCAGGCCTATACCTTCACAGGCATTCCTGCGGAGGGCCATGCAAAACTTCCGCGGAGCCCTCTTGAAACCCTCATTAAATTCTGCTGCTGTTGAGCCATCACACATAGGGACAGTCTCCGATCTTATCCAGCGACAGTCGTAGACGAGTACTGCATTGGAGCCAAAATAAAACAAGAATTCCTTGAAATTTGCTCTTCTGTCCTAGAGTCCTGTGAACATATGCTAGAGGGGAAGCGGCCAGAGATGATTTGCGACGCAAACTGCTGCGTTCCAAAAGACGGCTCCCGACAACCCCGCATGTATGAGGGAACAAGAATTATTCTCTGCATGCACTAACACGATAAACAGTTGTTGACGAGCTATGCCTGCATACTGATTGCGTGCTTAGGTCAGCGCAGTTTCATAAGCAATTGATCATTCTACAATGGGCTACAGGGTCCGCTAAACACGGCGTTTATTGTTTGAAGCAGGGTTGATGCATGCATCACACAGTAGGTTGGAGTACTTCCTGACTAGTCTCCGCTGCTAGGAAATCGGGGGGAAACCTCCCGTAGCCAAAGCCCCGTGCGGAGCACCGCGCTCGGGTGTACATGAAGAGGTGGCTGTTTTGATGGGCAATTAGTTTAGATCGTTGCAGCAAAAAACCATTATCCCCAGACTAAGGGTAATAAGGCATAAAAAGGTGATAAAGGATCCATTAGCAGCATGCACAAACAACAAGGGGAGCAGGGGTGCGGTGCAGCGCGGATTTATGCAATGTACGATTACTGCAACACGGATCATGGAAGAACAAATTTGTGGGTGAAGATGTATGTGTTGTAAACGTCTAAAAGCAGTATCACTAGCTCACTGGATCGTGGTTCTAAGGCGTTTGTAGAAGCTGAGTACTGCAACTCTACTGTTGCGGGAGCTAATTGGCTTAAGTTTTTTCCTAGTTACGAAGAACCGTTTCAAGGAACCAAATGTGTTTAAACCAACAAAATGTACTGAAACAGATGGGAAAAAAGCAAGAGCGGGAGAGGAAGACCCCAGCTAGACGGGCATTGCTGTGGTGCAGGGGCTGGCAGCTGACAAAGCAGCCATGAGCATCCCCCTTCTGCATGCTTTCCTTTTTATTTAGGTTTCCGCATTATTTAAACTTCTCCTAAGCGATGTTATAACCTAGAATAAATACTTTTTATGACACAAGCGCAAACACTGCTACGCTCCTGCAAGCGCCTTGCGGTGAACAGCAGTGGGGATCGGCGCAATGGTTTCGACGACGACCCTGGGTAAAGCACAAACTCTAAACCCTAACTCCTAAACCTGAATCCCCCAGTTGTTGAAGGGGTCTTTGAATGTCTTCAGAAGAAAGGAGTCTTTTGCGTCCCCTCCTCTCTCGGCAGCAGTAGTAGCAACCCTTCTTCCGGGAGTATCGGGTTTCTTCGCCCGCTCGTGCTGCCGGTTCCGTGGTGCATGCTACCGCTGCTGCTGTTAAAGGCTGAAGGGGCAGCAACAGTGCCTTCGAGTTCTTTTCGCCATTTTCTTTGCTTGTTGAGGTGTCCTTGAGCTAGCATCCACAAGCCCAACCCCCTCGCCGCTCTTCCTCTTCCAGGGCACCTGCTTCGGGCCGGTTGCGCGAGAACCCGGCACCTTTAAGGGTTTAGGGATCAAGGTTTCGTGTTCAAAACACGTGGCATGGCCACAAATACAGCTCAGATGCCCCAGAGGCGTCGGAGCTGCGGTGGCACGGGTCTCTTGGAGGATACAGTCCTTAATGTTTTCTGCAGTTTGCGTCCTATCCTTTAAGACATCCAAGTTGCTTGTAGAGAGCAAAAGCGGGCCATCACAGCAATGACCGTCTTGTTCCCTTGCGGCCCTATCCGATGACCCTGCTGCTGCTGGCTCTGCAGCAGCACCGAAGCAGCAGCAGCAGCAGCGACGGCACAAGGAGGAACGGCTCGACTATTTCAGAGTATCAACAAGGTCAGCAGCAGCAGCAACAACAACGGAGGCCGCTGCAGCGGCATTAGCTGCAGCACAGATTGTTGCAGTGGCAGTAGCATCAAGAAGGCCACGAGTTTGTTATTTCCAGCAATGCGTTGGGGAGGCGAGCTGCTGCTGCTGCTGCCGCTGCTGGGGCTAGCTGTCCCATTACCCGTTCTGTTCTGTTCGGGTTCGTCTTCCCCTGCCGAGTCTGTGCTGCTGGAGGCAGAGGATGAGGCGTTGTTGCTGCAACCGCTTGGCTTTGCTGTCCCCCGCCCTCCTGCAGCTGGGTCTCTTGCAGACCCTGCTGCACCAGGTACTGCTGCTGCTGGTGTTGCAATACCAGGAGCTGATGAGGAAGGATCTGTTTCCGCTGCAGCCCCAGCAGCAACCCCAGCAGCAGGTGCTGATGAAAGAGGGTCTGCTCCTGCTGCAACTCCTGCTGCAGGACTTTCTCCAGCTCCCGATGCATCTCCCCCAGCGTCTGGAGGTTCCGTCAGTTCCTCTTCTGCGGGTACACGGAGAACGCGTAAGACGAATAGGAAGGGCCTCGCTTCCTCTCGAAGGGTCGGCCGACGATCACGAAGAGCAAAGACAGATAGGGGGGGCTCCTCTGCTGCTGCAGCAGAAAAGGCATTAGCTAGGAGGAAGACAGCAACAACAACGGGAGTGTCTGTGAGAAGACACAAGAAGAGCTCGCAAAGATCGCGCAGAGAGCGCTCGTCAGGGAGACGCAGCTCCAGGCGCCCGTCCGCTGCAGCAGCAGCAGGGCCGGCAACAGACAAAAAAGCAGCAGCAGCAGAAGCAGATTCGAAAGGCACGAAGGTACCGAGTGCAGCAGCGGAGGGCGCGGAGAACAAAGTGGATTCCAGACGCTCCCAGGAGTTGCTGCTTAAGAAGCCGCCAAAATGGAGCTCTAGAGATATGCTGCAGCGACTGCAGCAGCTAAAGCCACAAAGAGGGAGAACAGTTAATAAAATTTTCAGAGCTCTTAGTGGCATCTTGGGTGTCGTGGCACTTCTTGTGCTTTGCGCCATCCTGTCTACTGTCAACAGCAACGGACCCGGACGTGACATGCCATATGTACGTAGAGGATTTAGAGTTTTTCGTTTAGGGTTTAGGGTTTGGGGTTTGGGGTTTGGGGTTTTGTTAGGGTGTATGTTTTAGAGTTTGTGGGTGGCAGATCGCCAGCTCGCTGCGGTTTGTGTGGGTCTTCAGGATGCTGTCTATTTGCTTGGGGACCAGCTTATTAATGCAAGAGGTAAGCGGGCGGCTTGACGGTCTAGGGTCTAGGATTTATATTTTAGGGTTTGGCGGTACCTGGGGTGTAGTTGCTCGCTCGCCTTTTGTGGGGGGCTGCCCTCGCACCGTTGGCTGGATTTAGGGTTTGGGGTCAAGACTTTAGGGTCTGTCGTTGTTGGGGATGTGCATGTGCTGCAGCGTGTAAGCGGTTGACTACAGCAATGTTAAGCTGGGTTGTTAGCTAGCAGACTGACCAGCTAGCTGGCTGACGAGCGAACTGGCTGGCGGAGCGGCCGGCTAGCTGGCTGGTCAGCCAGCTAGCTAGCCGAGCAGTCAGCTGGGTAGCTTTCTGATTCGGATTCGTTTGTGGCTGTTGCAACGCTTGCTACTGGTGTTGCGTCTGTTGTTCCTTTTGCTGCTGGTGTTGCGTGTTTTGCTGTTGTTGCTGTTGCTGCTGTTGCTGCTGCTGCTGCAAATGCGAGGAAGTTAACGCAACTGTTTCTGGTGCTGCTGCTGCATGCATTCAGCATTCTTGCGGTTTCAGTACAAAGGTGTGTCGCTGGAGTCTCGTTTGATTGCCTATCCTGTGAGCACAACAACAAGGGGAACTCTTGATTCTTAAAAGGAAATAAAAGTAGTGTTTTATTTAAAATGAGTGCTTCTACTGTTCCTCGCTAAGCGCCCAGTAGTGAGGGTCGGAGAGTGAGGGTTTAGGGTTTTTAAGGGTCTAATAAGTGAGGAGCAGGATCAGAGTTTGGGGGTTGGGGGTCGTCTCGTCTGTATCAGGGTTTGGGGTGTAGTACAGGACGAACAGGGGCCTCGTGGACGATGGTTTAGGAACTAGGGTTTGGGATTTGGGCTGTTGTTTCTGTTTGTTTTGCAGTTTCCCCCCAAAAATTTGACACTGGAGGTAAACAGGAGCAAGGCCCCAGACCCCTAAAATTGTAGACTGAGCCAAACCTTAGTAGGGCGCTGCAGGGGTCATGGTTTGCTGCTTTAGATGGCCTAGGATAAAGGGTTTTTCTCTCTTTTGTTCTTCAGGAGGTTAATGAGGTTCTGGACGACATAGAAAGGCAGCTCAATGAGTTTGTCGCCAGGGACCCTAGAGAAAGATACAGTAAGGGTTTTAGAGGGTTTGCTGGTTTTTGGTTCCTAGCTGTTTCCCAGGGTTTAGGGGAGCCATCGGTTGTTTACGGTCTAGGGTTTGGTGCGTTCAAGTGTTTATCTTGTGGGCGCTCGTATATAGGATTTAGGTGGTCGGTGCAACCTTTTATCCACTCGCTGGTGCCTCCATGGCTTGTAGGGTCTAGGGTTTGGTGTGTGGTGGCTGCAGGGTCGGCCGTCAGTATATTTGGCCCTCGCGGGTCCTACGACAGGATCAATGTGTACGAAGAAGAAGTGCGCATAAAATAGTGGAAAGATGCCCTCACATCATCATGTTTGTTTCTTCTTTTAATGCTTATTTCTTAAGGTCGTCTTCTGTTTGTTGCTAAACTGGGCAGCAACGAAAGTTACGGCGGCAGGCCACACCCCAGCTACTTGCTACCTTCGTGGCTAGCTAGCTAACTAGCTGCCTGCCTGCCTGGCTAGCTGGTTACACTTCTTCCGACGCAGCTACTAGCTAGCTGGCCAGTGAGTAGGGTTGCTAGCTACTTAGCTAGCTAGCCGGCGGAGTTGCTGGCTAGCTGACTACTGAGCTAGCTACCCCGCGAATGGGCTAGTTACCTAGCTAGCTCCCTAACTAGCTTGCTGGCTAGCTAGCTAGCTAACGGGGCGGCATGCGGCGCCTCGATTGGGGCTCGACTCGTGCAGCCTTCAAATACAGTTAAGACGTGTGCATGTAACACAGTTTGTCATGCGCGGATAACATCAGGTGTACGCACACCGCAAAACCCCTTTTGCAACTTAAACACCCCAAGGGCTCTTTATTCGCCATTTGTACCGGGGAGTCTCCGGTTTTTGTTGCTTGCACGCCACGTGCTGCTGCTGCTGCTGCTACGGGGGCCATTCCCTGCAGCAGGTGCAGCCTTCTTAATTGGGGCCTGTGTCTGCTGCTGCTTGCTGCATCGTCCCCTATTTTGAGCACGCTGTTGCTTCTGTTGTTGCTGTTGATTGCCTGCTGCTGCTGCTGCCGGCTTCCGTTGCTTGAACGTGAATGGGTTAAACCTGAGACAGCACAACAATTTGCGCTACGAATTCCTTACAAGCCTTCAGGTCGGGCGAGGGTTTAGGATTTAGGATTTATGGTTTTGTAGTGCTTACTTGCGCCTCTTCGCGGTGTCGCCTTCACCGTCTGACTCTTCGCTTTCCTCGGGGCTTTCTTTGCTGCTTTGTCTATCTCTCTTCCTGCTGCTGCTGCTGGTGGCCCCTTCGCCGTCGTCTGCATCAGACGATTCTGCTTCTCCCTCTGATTCGCTCGCTGCCGTTGATGCTGCTGCTGCTCCTTTTGCTGCCTTCGCAGTGCTCTTCGGCTGCAGCAACTCTAGAAGCTTCTGCCGCTCCTCCCTGCAAAGCCATCCACAGAGAACTCCTTCCTACTGCACCAGGTTCTGCTGCTGCTGATACTGCTTCTGCTGTTCTTGCAGATACTTCTGTTGCAGCCGCTGCAGTGTGCTCTAAAAAATGCCAAGCCCTTCACCTATTGGTTGCTGAGCTGCACACCAAACCCTAAACCTTAAACCATAGACACTAAAGTCTTACTCTCTCTTTGCTTTGAGGAGCTGTTCCTTCTTCTTGAGCATCTTCAATTCCTCCGGCGTCTTTGAGATGTGCTTGTGGTACAAGACTGCAACAACAGAAGCAGCAGCATAAGCAGCATCAGCAGATGCAGCACCAGCACTCCACCAGCGTTTACTGCAGCAGCATTGGAAGTAGCAGCAAATCAACTAGCCGCAGACGCAGCAGCAGGCACATGGAATATGAAATACGAGAAAACCACAATCATCCGATGCAGCAGCAGCATACGCAGAAGCAGCAGCATACGCAGAAGCAGCAGCAGAAGCAGCGGCAGCAGCAAAAGTAGCAGATGCAGCAGGTGCATCTCATTTGTTTTTCATTGCTTGAAGCAAAAGATAGAGAGGGTTTATGGTTTAGGGTTTACCTTCGCCAGTGCAGACATCATTTTCTATCTTAATAAGCATTAACTCAAGTCGAGGGCCGATCTCTTTAAGTTGTACAGCCATAGAGAGTTCCTGCTGCTCCTCCTGCTGCTGCTGCTGCTCCTGCTGCTGCTGCTGCATGCCTGGCAGTATTACCTGCAGAGTGCTGCCCTTAGATATACGGGAGGGACCAGTTGCAGCGCCAAACACGACCTTTTGGTTTTGCTGCTGTTGCTGCTGCTGTTGCTGCTGCTGATCCTCTGCAGCCAGCAGCAAGTCGCATGCATCTGTTTGCTTCTCCTGCAGCTGGTGCAGCAGCTGCTTCTGAGCAGCACCGCCAGTAGACGCCTTAAGGAGGTTTTCTACCCCTGCTGTTATATCTGCTGCCTTTAGAGAAACTGTATAATGCCGAAACTGATAGTATATGCCTTCGCTGCTGCTGTTGTTGTTGTTGTTGTTGCTGTTGTTGTTGCTGTTGTTGTTGCTGCTGCAGGCTTCTTTTTCCGAGATAGCGCGGAAGAAGGCAACACGGCGGAAGTCGTTAAGCTGCAAGCACAAACCCTAAACCCTACGCCCTAATATGTGAAGGCAAAGGAAAAATCGAGGGTTTGCTTCTTGCGCATGTTTGCAACTTAATAGTGTTTGGGGTTAGAGGGTTTTGTAAGCAGAAGGTATGAGGAATTAGGGTTTATCCACGGTTAGCAGCTCATAGGGTTTAGGGTTTAGGGTTTAGTAGGATGAAGTACCCTAGCTGTGCGGAGGTCAACGGGAGAGAAAAGGGACCGCAGCATTGAAGTTGACAATTGCAGCGCCTGTGCTCTACTCAAACCCTCAGAACCCTTGCTGCTGCTGCTGGTGCTGGTGCTGCAGCTGCTGCTGCTGCTCAAAACGAGTAGGGGGGGTTTGCGGAGGTCCTTCGGGTCCATTCGGGCGCCGCTAACTTCTCGTTGAACATCGCCAATTAAAGAGAAATTCACAACCTGAACCCACAAACGCCAAACCCTAAACCCTAAACCCTAGACTCTAAGCCCTATACCCTAGGTGTTATAGTCTTTTTGTAGTTGGCAACAGTTGCTGGTGGACTAAGAGGGAGGGCTTCTCGTTGGCTATGCCTATGTCTATTACTGTTGCAAAGGGTTTGTTTGTGGCTTTTTAGGGTTTAGGGTTTACTATTTCGCCGTTGTTGTTTGCTAGGGTTCAGGATCTATGCAGGTGAAATTAGGCCTGTGTTGTCAGAATTTTCAGACCAACTAGACTTTCGTGTCGAGTAGGGTTTAGGGTTTAGGGTTTAGGCTTGCCTGGAAGGTAAGAGTCGGTCCTTTGGGTAGTTTTGCGATTTTAAGATAAATACCATTATCTGTTTGTGTTAGGGTTTGTAGATGCGAAACCCCTAAAACACTAGCAGCTCTTTTAAAGTCTTTTTGTTTGTTTTTTCTTGTTTCCTTCAGGTGTACAGACACCCGAGGTCCCACAACTAACCGCCAATCTCTAACGAGTTGTCTGCAGGAGGGGGAAACACGACCTCTTCTTACAACGATACTTGAGGGGCCTGCTGCTGCTGCATCTTCTGCTGCTGCGTCGGCGCCGGGAGCGGACAAACGACCCGCTGCTGCACTCACACGCTGACGCTGCTTGCGCTTCGATGCGCGACGACTAGCCATCTTTCGGATGGTACTGGTGCTGCCGTTGTTGCTGCTAATACTGCTGCAGTTATTGCTGCTGCTTCTGCTGCTGCTGCAGTTATGCTGCTGATGCAGCTGCAGCTACGACTGCTAGTACTACTACTGATAACGCTGTTGTCGCCTCTGTTGTTGACCCTAATGCTACTGAATCGAATGCTGCTGCTGCTTCTAAGCTGCTGCAGCTGCTATCTGCCGCTGGACCTCAAAGTCTCCTTGCAGCGTTGTGCGGCGACCATAGCGCCGTCAGAAATAGGTCTATGGTTTAGGGTTTCGGGTTCAGGGTTTAAACCCTTCTGTTCTGTTGTGTGTAGTTTAATGATAAACACTTAAGAACCTCAAAAATAAAAACCTACCAAAGTCTCGACGCCTCTGTGGGGCCCCGGAGAGCCCTGCGGGGCAACAAAACCTAAACTTTAAACCCTAAACCCTAAACCCTAAAACACAAATCCTCAGCCTTCTGCAGGTTCAGGGTTTTCCTGCATCTTTAATCAGCTTCTCTTTCTATAAAGATTTGCAAACCCTAAACCCTCGAAGGGACAGCCACAGAAGCCTATATGGCCACGGGGCTGTTGGTACAGGGGCCCGTCGGCGTAAACCCTAAACCCTTAACCCTACTATACAGCCGTGGTAAACACCTGATGACATTTTAATGCCATTTTTTGCATTTTCTGCTAAGCAGTTACTTCCCGCTAGAAAGTGGCGCTTCACGTTTTAGGGTGTAGGGTTTAGGGTCTAGGGTTTCTGTATAATGGCTCTTAGGACATCTGCGCTTCCAGGGGATTTTGTGAACTTTTACGCGTGGTACGGCCTCGTTCCCTCCTTTAAGGAAGCAGCAGAAGAGGGGTTTTCTTTGTCTTGTCTAGATCAGTGGTTTGGCTGGAGAGTAGCAGGCATTAACGCCTTCTGGTTGCCGAGAATCCACCACGCAAGTAAGCTGTAGGGTTTAGGGTTAAGGATTTACAGTTGTTACCGCCCCTGATTCTATGTCCAGGGTCAGCAACATGCTCCATGAAACGTAGGGCCTAGAGTTTAGGGCTTAGTGTTTAGGGTTTGGTTCGTGTGCGTCGCAGATGAAGACATCAGCGGCGTGTGGCTGCAGAGTCTAGATCGGCTGATGCAGTGTCGTGCTGCAGCAGCAGCACCACCAGCAGAGCGTCCTAAACTGTTGCAGCAGATGTTTCTTCAGCAGCATCCCCCTAACGACGTCTGGCCGTACAGGAAACCCCCAGAATTGTAGTGGAGGGTTTAGGGTTTAGGGTTTGGGGTCTAGCGTTTAGGGTTTAGTACGATGAATAGCCCACAAAGCTACACGTATTGCCCAACACAGCCAGAGGCAGACCTTGAAGAACTCCTCCTGGCTGCTGCAGCGGCTCCCGGCCGCAGCAACAAATCTTCCAGCAGCAACAACAGGACAGAGGCAGCAGCAGCAGCAGCCAGAGGTGAGCTGCCTTGGGATGAAGTGCTGCTGCTGCTCCAGCAATGGGCGGAGTTCAGGCAGCAGCAGCAGGTGCTGTGTGGCCAGTTGCAGGAACTGGTAAGGCAGCGAATGTTGTTTGATGAAGCTCCTGCAGCAGCAGAAGCAGCAGAAGCAGCAGCTGCTAATTCTGCTGCAGCAGCAGAAGCGGAATCAGCAGCAGCAAATATTGCAGCTGTCAGCGAGAAAAATCCACTCAAGGCGTTGGAGCTGTTTGGCACGGCGCTGCTGCAGCGGCAACAGCAGCAGCAGCAGCAAATGCAACGGTGCCGACAGAAGCAACAGCAGAGATGCAGCAGCAAGGTCCTCGCTGCAGCAGCAGCAGCCTCTCCTGATGCTCTTGAGTTCATGTTGCTGCATTTGGACGACCACATAGATGCAGCAAAGCGACAGATTGCTGCAGCAGCAGCAGACTTCACCAGAAGCAGTAGCACAACCTCCGCTCAGCGCCTTATGCTCCTGGCGCAGGCTGCTTCTCAGTCTGTCTTTCCCCGTCGTTTTGCTGCTGTAGCAGCAGCAGCTGCTGCAGCAGCAAAACGCAAAAACAAAAATAAGGGGAAGCGTGCTGCGGCAGCGGCCAGTTCGTCAGTAGAGCAGCAGCAGCAAGAGAAGCAAGGGCAACCAAAAGAGCAGCAGCAACAGCAGCCTAAACAGCAACCGCAGCGAGAGCTGACTGCAGAAGAGGCAGCAGCAGCAGCAACAGAAACTGCTGAGCTGCAACAGATTGCTGCTGCATGCGACAGCCTCCTGCGTTCATCAAAGGCTTACGCTACATTTGCTGCTGCTGCTGTTGCTGCTGCTGCTGCTGCTACTGAGTCCGCAGAGGATTTTAGTATGAACGCGTACTGGAGAGAAGTAGAGGCGCTCCCTCCCCTTCAGGAGGCAGCAGCAATTGCTGAGAGAGCAGCAACAGCAGCAGCTGCTGCAACAAAGAACGAGGGGAGCGTGGATGCGTGATACGCAGCGCATGCAGTTGCTGCCGCAACAGCAGCACGTTGCTGCTGCTGTTGCTGCAGCAGCTGCTCGTGGTCGACTCTGAGACTTTTGTTAAGGGTTTAGGGTTTTGATAAAAGCGCAAGTCCAGGGTTTAGTGCTTAGAGTTTGAAGTCTGCAACCCCGTAGCGAAGGCTGCGGGTGTTGAGCTAGCCAGCACGCTAGCCAACCAGCTAGCTAGCCAGCTAGATAGCTAGGCAGCTAGTTAGCTAGCTAGTTAGCTAGCTAGTTATCTACATATTTCAACAGCAAGAGTGGCTATAGCTCTCTGCGTAAAAAGATGCGCTAGCTAGCAGCGGCTAGCTAGCTAGCCGTGTCCAGCTAGTTATAGCAGTAGCCAGGTGGCTAGCTATATAAATAATCAGCTAGCAAACTAACTAGCTAGCTGTATGAGCAGAGCAATTATCTGCCGCCTAGACCAGCAAAATGACGCATTGCCTCTTGTAGATCTCCAGGGTCACCCGATTGCAACTGCACATAAATAGCAGCAGAAGCAGCAGCAGCAGCAGCACCTCAGCACAAAACCCTCCCTTCTGCTGTTTATACGTAAATACGAATAGAACGTAATAAACACATAAAACAGAATAAAATAGACAAAAAGATACAAAACTTAAATTTTTAAATAGAACATAACATTCTCTTCACCACCCTTTTGCTTAGGAGCTCAAGAATAATAATACACAAAGATTAACGACAAAATAAATAAAATAATATAAAATAAAATAAATAAATAATATACCTCTTTAAATAATGACATAATATTCCCTGCTCCTCCCATCTGTTTAAGGATTCTTGGATCAATGGCGGATTGCATCTTATGAAGAATTTGCTGAGGATTTCTTGCCAAGTTCTGCAAAGTTGTTTCCTTTGTTAGACCTACACGACCCATCTTATTCACCATCTTACTAAATCTGCAGGAAAAAAAAAACATATATAATATATATAATATATATTAGGGTTTAGGGATTAGAAGATACAAGAGACGGGAGAGGCGGGGAAGGGGTTTGCACGAGAGGGTTTAGGCAAAAGGAGGAGGGAAGAAATAGACCTATTAAGAATAAAATACGAAATAACTAAACGGCAAACCCTAAACCCTAAACCCTAGAATAACTTACTGCTTATGCTGCTCTAACAAGAGGCGAACTTCCTCAACAGATGTACCCGAGCCTTGCGCAACCCTTATAATGCGTGAATCCGTGAAGGGTTTCTCGCAAGCCAGCTCTGCAACAAACAAACAAACCCTAAACCCTAAACCCTAAACCCCAAAGTTTAAACCCATAAACCCGAAAGGATGAGACGAAAAACGTAGAGAAATGCAAACCGAGACAAACAACACAACGAACGAACTCCTGACCAAGGGTTTACTACTAGGGTTTAGGGTTTACCAGCTTTTGTCATAGAATCCATAGCACACGTCAACCTCTTTAACCGCTGAGTCGCTAATCGCTCCTGCCCCTTGGGGAATAAATTTGAACCAAACCCAGGAATCATGCTCATCACCTAAGATAAAAAACCACAAACCCTAAACCCTAAACCCTAAACCCTGAAAAACCCCTAAAATCCTAAAACTTGAATGAGGTGTTTAATGCTTATGCCGGTTGAGGGTTTACGACCATCTACAACTAAAACAAATGTTTATCTGTTTGAAATAAGGTTTCTTCTTTTTCCCCAGATTTTAGGGTTTAGGGTTTAGGGTTTTAGGGTTTCTTACCTTGCTAATAGGTCCCATCCTGAGTACATTCTGAAATTGATCATACATGTCTTGGAGAGTAAATTTTCCTTTTGCAATTCTTTCTATCATTTGTTGTTGTTTTTCTGTAGAAATTACTTCTTTTAGACTATTTACTAATGCCCCCATATCCCCGAGACCTGAATAAGGACAAAAACCCTAAACCCTAAACCCTAAACCATTAATACTGATTATTCCTTTTCATATATAAAATGATTAGCACGAACATAAACAGACATCTACAGACATCTTAAGAATTATATTAAATTAATACATATATACAGGGTTGATACTCTTGCTACCTAAACCCTAAACCCTTTTTTATTATATTATCCCCCTATAGACAACTATTAATGCCTTAAAGAGGGCTTAGTGTTTCTTACCAAGGAGGCGAGAAACAAAAGAATTTGCATCAAAAGGATCAAAGTCGTCAAAATGCTCGCCGCTACCCAAAAATATAATCGGGGCTCCAGTGGCAGCCACTCTGCATGCATGCAGTAAAACCTAAACCCTAAACCCTAAACCCTAAAACCCAAACCCTAAACCAAAAACGCTAAACGGTATAGAGGACGTGCAAGAATGGACTTCTGAACCCTGCTGGATCGGGCGGTACGTAGGGATTAGGGTTTAGGATGAGACAGCAAGGTAGGGTTTAGGGTTTAGTGTTTAGGGTTTACGTACGCTGAGAGTGCACCTCCTCCCTTAGCATGACCATCAAGTTTCGTAACAATAACACTACCTACAGGAACACTAGAGGCGAACGCTGCTGCTTGCTCGTAGCACGCTTGTCCAATATGTGAATCTACTACAAAGACGATATCGTCCGGGTTCTGTAACGCAAACCCTCAACACCAAACACTAAACCCTAAACCCTAAACCCTAAACCCTAAACCTCACACCCTACGAGTTTCAAAAGCAGGTGCAAACGGATGCTTCATTCACGCGCCTACGCGGCTAGAATGGTCACAAAAGCTCCCAAACCCTAATAAACCCTAAACCCTAAACCCTAAACCCTTACCACAGCATCTGCAACTTGTTGCATTTCTTCAAAGAGAGCAGCCTCCTGTCTGTGCCTTCCTGATGTATCTACAATAATTAGATCGTATCTTTCATCTCTAAATTGTTGCACACCCTCTTCTGCTATCTTGACTGGATCTGCCTCCGTATAGCTGCAGAAAAAAAACCCAACCCTAAACCCTAAACCCTAACCTCATATGAAAAACCCTGCCTTCTCTTGTTTAAACACTCAAGTTCCCAACGCCTCTACCTACAACCAACTTGACGGTACTAGGCTGTCTTTCATAGGGTTTAATTATTATTTCTGCTGTTTTAATTAGGGTTTATTAGTGTTTAGGGTTTACTAGGGTTTAGGGTTTATTAGGGTTTAGGGTTTAGCTAACCTGCCAAAGAAAGGAATTCTTGCTTTTGTTGCATTTTGTTTTAATTGATCAAAAGCGCCTGCCCTAAAAGTGTCTGCACAAACTAAGGCTGTTCTCCATCCTAAGGAACAAAAAAAAAAAAAAAGAATAAAGACTACCTACTGCAGCAGCAGCAGCAGAAGCAGCAGCAATAGCAGCAGCAGCACAAGTGTCGGCCAACAACTTGCACAGGCAGAAGCACCACCAGCTGTTGCTGCTGCACTAAACCACCAAACAATTGGTGATTAAGAGTATGGTTATATATCCTTTGGTTTAATTAGTGTTAATATTATTAGGGTTAATATATTAGGGTTTAGGGTTTAGGGTTTATATATAAATAATATACCTTTTCTTTGGTAATAAAGTGCATATTTAGTACAAGTTGTAGTCTTCCCTGATCCTTGTAATCCAACAAACATAACAACATTTGAATATCCTCTTTTTAATGGTCGTGCTTTTTTCTCGGGGGTTAATAATGCCACCAATTCGCTCACTACACACTGAAAAAAAAAAAAATTCAGAAACCCTAAACCCTAAACCCTAAACCCTAAACCCTAAACCCTAAATAATGAAGAGTATGGAACATATAAGAATATTGGAGATGGAATATACGGGTTATAAAATAAAAGGAATCCTCTAAACCCTAAACCCTCAAACCCTAAACCCTCCAGCGAGGGTTTAGGGTTTAACAAACACCCCACCCAGCTAGCTAGCTGCTTCGGCCTGTGGCTAGCTGCAGCCAGCTAACTAGCTAGTTAGCTAGCTAGCTAGCTAGCTAGACAGCTAGCTATTCTGCTTACCTTTTGAATAATACGTCTAGTATTAACTCCTGCTGCTGCTGCCTGTATGTACACCTCGCTCATGACATCTCCTTGTTTGTCTGCATGCACTGCAACACCAGTTGCGGCATCAAACCCTCTAGTGCTGTTTGCTGCTGCTCCTCCTTTCTTCCTGTTGCTATGACCACCACCACCACCACTGCTGCTGCTGCTGCTACTGCTGCTGCTGCTGCTGCTGCTGCTGCTCTGCTGCCTTATCTGCGTATTTATCTGCTGCGTAACCTTCTTCTTATAGTCCTGCACTACCCGCAGCTGCACGTCCGCCAGCAGCAGCGCACGGCATACTGTCTTTACACAATCATTTACTACCTGCAGCACAGCGGCAGCAGCAGCAGCAACAGCAGCAGCAAGATATGTACCAGATGCAGCAGCTGCAGAAGATGCAGCAACAGCAGCAGACGCTGCGGATGTATGGAGCAGGAAAAGACACTGCAGTAGGGGTAGCAGCAACCGCTGACGAAGCAGCAGCAGCAGCAGCAAGACTAGCAGCAGGAAGAAAAGAACCAACAGTTACAGCAGCATCAGCAACAGCTGTAGCAACAGATGCAGCAGCAGCAGCAGTAGCAGCAGCAGCAGCAATACTTGCAGCGGCAACCGCAACTGTAACAGCAGCAGCAGTAGGACAATGAGTTATGGCAGCAGCAGCAACAGCAGCAACGACAGCAGCAGCAACATTTGCGTCAGCAGCCAACATACAACAACAAAACCTTAAGACTGCCTAAACCCTAAACCCTAAACCCTAAACCCTAGATAGACGTACAGCCTCATCAACGATTGTGGCGCTCTGGAGGTTCCTAAGAGCCCCAGAGATCTGTTGTCCCAGCTCTGCAAGCACCATCTTTGCTGCTGCTGCTGCTGCTGTTGCTGCTGCTGCTTCCTATATTGCTGCTGCTCTTGCTGCTGCTCCTGTTGCTGCTCCTGCTGCTGCTGTTAACTATTAACGCCACAAAGCAGCAGCCGCAGCGGCAGCTTTTGCTGCCGTCGCCAAGTGTGTTGCTGCCTTAGCCAAGAAAAAGGGCTACAGGAGCATGTGCTGCTGCTGCTGATGCTGCTGCTGCTGCTGTTGCTGCTGCTGTTGCTGCTGTTGCTGCTGCTGCTTAAAACAGGAAGAGTTCAGGTCTTCTTGGATCTTGTTCTTTTTTTATGATGAAAATGGGGCAGAAGAAAAGAAGCCTATGGAGGGCCAAACCCTAAACCCTAAACCCTAAACCCTAAACCCTCGGGGGTCCTTAACGATATTGTGTTGCTGATAAAAGGAGAGCGAAGAAGGAGAGGGTATAAAGGAGAGGTGTCTGATTTGCTGCAGAGACAAACAGCAGCAGCAGCAGCAGCAGCAACAGCAGCAGTGTGCTGCTGTGCGCCTACTACAGGCTCGAGAGCAGTGGCAAGTAGACCCGCCACCGTTGCTAGGCGTAAACCCTAAACCCTAAACCCTAAACCCTATCTTCTTTATGGTGTATAGACAAGGATAACAGTGTTTATGTTGTTATAAGATAAAGGAGAGCTTACCCTTGTGGCTGCATGCAAAGCAGCAGCAAAGAGGCGCTGCTGCTGGGCCCCTCCTATCGCTGCTGCTGTCTGCTGCTGCTGCTTTTTTTTATTTAATTAAAAAAAAAATAAATAATTAATTAATTATCTTTTTGTTTATTTGCTGCTGATTACCATTAATAATGCCTACAGTTATGATGGCTTAATGGGGCAGCAGTATAGTAGTAGTAGTGTATAGCAACTTGCTGCTGCTGCTGCTGCTGCTGCTGCCGTTGTGCTGCTGCTGCTGCTGTCGGGAGCAGCATAGCACAGCAACAAAAAAAAAGAAAAAGAAAAGGATTAAAGTTTAGTAAATTATATTTAAATTATAATTTAGAAGAAATATAAAACATTAAAAGATAAAACAGCAACAAAAAGCAGCAGCAAATGCTGCTGCTGCTGCTGCTGTTGCTCCTGTTGCTCCTGTTGCTGCTGATCCGCTGATCTCTGAATCCCTCTGACTAGCGCATCGCTGCTGGCTAACATAAAAAAGGAATAAAATAGGAGGAAAATATCTAAAAAACAATATTAAATAAATAAATAAATTATTTATTTATTTATTTATTTATTTATTGAATAAATATTTAATTGCATGCATTAACTTAATACTACACCTTTTATTGCAACAAGAAACGCAAGAGTATTATTGCCTTAGTATATATACATGTAATTTTTTTTATAAAAAAAAATAATAATTATATATATTTATAAATATTTCTTCTCAATATAAACAATTCTTTTATTATTTATTTTGTTTTCTTTGTCTTATTCTGTATTCTTTGTGCAACAAGAAGACGGTGGTGTATATGCTGAGGTGTATAGGCACCTCATTAGGAAACTTTATTTCTTGTATAAAGAGGAAATAGTTATTATGATGGTTATTTTCTTCTTTTTTCTTTGATTAAACAACATAAAGAAGAATACTTTTTATTTATTTTGTCTTTTATCTATTTACTTTATTCATAAATACATATTTACCCTTGCTTTCCTCTTTCTTTTCTTGTATATACAAGTGTCGTCATCAATCACGAAGAAGAACAAACAAGATAAGAAGGAACGCCAGCAGGGTTTATTCATCTATTTCCTTCCTTACTTCATCATTATTATTTATTTATTCATTTTTATTTATTTATTTAAAATTTTATTTATTCATTTATATATAAAGATGGAGGGAGAAGGTATAATTGAGACCCAAGAGTTATGCCTAAAGGCATTACGGAGTGTTAGATCAGGAAACGATGATGATCTTCTTAGTACATTAAGAGAAATAGAGGAATTAATTAATCAATTAAAAGGGAATAAATTATTAATTAATTATTTAACAGCAGAAGAATTATTATTTATTTCCTTAGATGCAATAAATACATTAAAAATGAATATAGCGCATGCATCTCTTAGTTTATTATATAAAGGATTACCTAAGGAAGGAATTATAGATATATTATCTATAGATACTAATTTAAATCTATCCTCGGTATATTTATTTATTTATTTATCTATTTATTTATTTATTTATTTATTTATTTATTTATTTATTTATTTATAGGAATTACTCAATGCATGCACTACTAAGTGTTGGGTCCTTGATGATTTTATTACTGCCTCTGTTATTGAATTAACTATTAAACTTTATGTAAGAAAATAAATAAATAAATAAATAAATAAATAAATAAATAAATAAATAAATAAATAAATAAATAAATATATTAATTATCTTTATTATTATATA